AGAAAATACTTAATTTGTATTCAATTTAAAAATATTATAGTATTGTTTATGCATGCAAAATTTTAATTCTTGTCAAGCAGATAGCAATTTTGCACCTTCATTTGCATGCAAGCGGAGGACTAAATTCGCAGAGATATATTAATTTCTGCATAATTTTTCATCTCAAAACAGTACTACCAAATATTTACTCAATCAGTAAAATGAAATATTTCTGCCAATTTGTAAAATTGGCAGAATTTAGTGAATTCAATTAGAAACTAACGAAAAAAAAACAGGTTAGACTGAAAAATATAAAAATTTGGCTGCCCAAATTATCCGCACATTTGAATAAATGAAGACGTGTTAGTTCATTTGTTTCTTCGTTATACTTTTCATCTATAATAATTTCCTAAAAATATTTTAACTTTAATTTTATTTTGGCTATAGCTTTTAGATGTAATATTTTTTCGTATTTGAAAGCAGAAAACTTTCCTTTAGAAACTTTCTTCTACTACACTTACTTTTGATTGCGCAAAAACAACGATGGGACAGACAATAACACAAGTAATGCAAAACATAAGTGCCAGCATGGAATAAGCTGCTTTTGTGTTCCACAGTTTAGCCTAAAAATATTGTGATTTTCGTTACTGTAATCATCTTTACATATAAATAAATATCCATCATATTTGAATAAATTTTATTTTATTTTTGGAGCATTTCTTATATTTTGGGATGTTACATTGCTACCAAATTCAAATATTTTAATGATGCATTTCATTATTTTTTAAAATAAAAACGCAAAAATATCTCCGAACTCAAAAATTTTAACTATTGTTTAACAATAATAAATCATCAAAAATACTATTTAATTGATGTAATTTAGAAAAATTCTTCATGGAAAAACGTTTGGTAGAAAACTTAATTTTAGAGGGTGACAAACACGGCAGTATCTATCGATGCTAAAGCAAACCAAAATAAAAGTACCAAAGATCTTGCCAATATGTTCAAAAAGTCTGAATAATTTGCACACTGCTGTGCCGAAGATCCAAAATCCCATCACCTTAAAGACTTTATTTTTGTCAAGCACTAATTCATAGAAGAGTAAATTTAATTTTTACTTGATCGATGATGGTCACTGGTAATAATAGCATACTGATCAGATCAACAATGCTTAACATGCCAATGTAAGTTAACGTGGTGTTATAACGTGACCTGCAAATGACCGATTCACCAACGGTTTTTTTCGGCTGCAGTAGACTATTGAATCACTAGAAGAGTGAATGCGTAAAAATTCAGTTCAAAGGGGTTCCGTAGATTTTTTTGAATGATGCATAATTGCTTTTCATAAAATTTGAAGCTTGCTGAAGACATGAGTAATTTATATTGCTTGAAAATGACTATCCTGTATTTAAATTATTTCTTGACCAAAATACCACACCACATCGAACCTTCGATCAAGTGATCGAACTTGATAGATAGCAGTCAAAATAGCAAGATTACCACAGGTACCAAGCATGAATAAGAAAGCATAAAGTCCTACGATCGCCATCAAACCACCATTATCGTGATTTGAAAACGGCAAAATATAATTGATTTTAACCTGTGAATGTTTATTTCATAATGAAATAAAAACCTAAAATTCCACCGTTGAATATTTTTATAAAGACAAGAATTTTTTAATTAAAAAGTAAACTATAACTTGTAAGATAATAAATTTCATGCTTAAAAATAAGCAAAAGTATTACATCTATTTCATAAAAATGTGCTAATGTTCTAAATTATGTGTAAAGGATATGGTATTGACTAGACGTTTGAAAATGTTTAGACCAGAGTGTTTTTGAATATTTAGTAGCTTGTTTAGGTTATAATTTTATTATGATCAGTTTCCGCATACTCACAAGAAAGTAGTTTAAGAATGTTTTATATGTATTTTTGGTATTATTGCTTTTAGTGCTATAATTCTTAGTATTATGTCTACTCATTTTGCTATTATCATTGTTTTTAATGACGTTATTTTTTCGGGACAATTTCATTCAAAATTCAAATTCCCGAATTTTGGCGCTTGATGGGAAATGTGACAAATGAACTTCACGGAAGTCGATTTCTTTGATAGTTTCGTTATCCATCAAGAAATTCGGAAAAATATCATGAAATCAGTGAAATAGCAGCTTTAAGAGGGCGAGAAATTTACCAAATTACGATCACAGTATTCATGCTGAAATTTGGTATTATTTTTGTTCAATTTTTTTTGCGTGAATTAAAAATTAGAAACAAAGTAAAAATTATTAATTTGTATGTACTGAAAGCAATTTACAACACATAGTTTATAAAATATTTTGATGATAATTATGTAAATTACCATCAAATTGATGATAAAAATGATTTTTTGGCTGCAATTTCATCTTTAGCTTATCAGAAAATACGTTTGATGAAAAAAGATTTGAAATACTTCGAATCATCTCGTCAAAATTTCGATTGCTAATGCATTCATAATGCAAAGAAAAAAAATCATTTTGGGATTAATACTGAATCTGAAATTAAAATAATAGAATAATAGTCTTTAATAAGCTTGAACTTTAGTTGCAAAAAAATTATCCATAATTTTTCTTCTTATTATTGCAAACTATTAAAATACAGAGAAAACGTCAAACATTACAATAAAGTTTTAGTAAAACTTACATTGCAATCATTGCTTAGTATTATTTTAAAAATTTGCTCAGATCAAAAGTTTGAGTGAACGAAATTGGCTAAATTTATACATTTTTAAAGCTTATATATTGGTCAGAAAATAATGCAATCTAAAAAAATATTAAGTAAAAATATAATGTGAAATGATATTGCCTCTATAAAATTCAGAAGTTCTTGTCCTGAAAATCTTTGAATTCAATAATGAAATTTATGTGTCAGTTTCTGAAAATATCCAAGTTGAATAATTGAGTCTTAAGTCTGTATCCTAAAATTAAAATTTGTAATTTTTGACAATTTGCTTTATTTTGCGTCACTGTGCTGAAAATATACAAAAAGTAATACTATTGAAAATTTTTTCATTAGTTTTAATGCAATTTCTTTAGGCATCGAAAATTGAATGATAAAAGAGAATATTAACCTTTGGAAATTGAGAACTGCGCAAAGCACTACGAGACTCACCCACATCTGAATGCTTGGATACACAGTTATTATTCTAATTTCGCTCTTCCACTCTTATTCCATTTTTGGCTAATTTTAATTTTCCAAATTTCGTTCTTGAAACTATGAAAAATAGCCTATTTGAAATCAAGCAAACTTCCATCAAACGGCCTGACGCACACATGAAATGAACAAGTTATAAGTTTAAATCATAATTTGAATCGCTGCTTCAGTTTATGTGCTTTTCATTTGCTGCTGACTTGAACTGTTATTATTTCATGATGAAAATTGATAATAACTTTTGTACGATAACAAGTGCGAATATTTTGGAAATATTTGAATTCATATGTCAAAGTTTCAGAATTAAAAAAAATTCATTTTGCATAGTTGCTTCAAAGTACAATGAAGTGGTGTTTATTCATCACCACTCATGCCTTTAAGTGATAATATATTTATTATTTTCTGAGTAACCTTTCAAGCTAGAAGGACTTTCCCAAGTAAGAAAATGATACGAATAGTTAAGGAACTATTACGAGTAGATTCAAAATTCTGACAAGGATTCTGTAAAGCAAACAGCGACGAGTATATTAGTAGGCGACGCGTGTAAAATTCACTCATTCTAAGCAAGAAAAATTAATATAAGTTTGGAAAATAAACATTTTATGAACAAATGAACACATTAGCGAGTTTTAATTAATGAAATAATAGTCGATTATCGAATAAAGTTAAAAAATGAAAGTACATGCAAATGAAAATTGTTAAAGCAAAGGGTTGACAAGAGTAAGTATTATTCAAAGCAGAAGAAATTGTGAATGATTAAGATCTAGAAGCACTGAGCTACGAGTAAGTTTTGATTGAATAAATTTTTTGAAATATTAATTGGGATTTTCTATCTTTGCAACTGTACAACAATTATTTTGTACTAATAAAATTCAAAAATTATTACAGTTTGGATTCATAACAGTCAAGGGAATACAAAAAAGTTATTGTAGAATAGTCAAATTTTTTGTATCAGTAAAACAATACTTCGTAATAATTATTAAATGCAAACATTTGTAAGGTGCAGAAGTGAATCAACAAACTGTCAATAACTTGTAATACTTACAAAAACTTAATAAATTGTATGTAATTATTTGAAAAATAAATAATACAGATAAGATTTAAAAATAATTCAGACCAAATAAAAGCAAAAACTTTACCTGCAATACATATTCTTAAGCAAGAAATTTCTTTCACTCATGTTGATCTTTTATGATTAATCAAATTATTTCCCCAAAATACTGTGAGGAGATTTTTAAACCAATTGAATTTTTGCCATAAAAACTTGCAAACTGCATAAACTTTATTTTAAAAAAAGCTTGAAAGCTTAAAAAAGTGTTTCACCACGCATGTGACACGTGTTGGATCAAGAAAACTCGCGTAAATTTTAAAATTTGAAAAATATCGGATTTAGTATTAAGGACTTCCAATAAAGAGTAACTGAGTTTCAGGCATTTTTGATAAATTTCAATGTCAGATTGAATTTGAAATTTCTGATAGAGTTTGTAAATTTATCTATTTTAAAAACAAATTTTGAAAAGTCTTTGTAAAAATTTGTATATTTTGTGATATCATTATTTGATCAGCTGAAAAAATCTTATTTTTGCACAAGTAATCCTGAAATTATCAAGTTTTTGAATTCAGGATGAAAACCTAACTTACCAAATATTTAGCTTTTCTTGACTCTAAATCCTAAGTGCTGCTAGAACTAAACAGTTACTTGAAGTATGGTTGGACCGCCAAATTTATAAACCTCAGCAGCGAACTGAAAGTAAGTTAAGATCCATCAAACAAATTAGATTGAAGAGGAAATTTGTCATTTATTCAAATCTAATTTTAAACAGTTTTTGTCTAATAAAAGCAAAAAAATTCACTGCGTAAATTAAATATCTCAAAGTAATTCATTCACATCTCAAAATAAAAATAAATGCTCAAATGTGAATAGTAAATGAGTAAAAGTGTGGGATGCAAATAAGTTATTCATTTCATTTAAATGCCATTTTCAATTTTTTCGGAATCGAAAACTGCTAAATTTTCGGAAGTTAACAAATTTTTCTTGAAATAGAAAAGAATTTATTAGTGATCTGCTGTTTTTAGTAAACACCCGCCCACATAAAAAGTATCAAATTTAAATTCTTTTTGCAATTTTTATTAAAAATTTATTGCAACCATTGAACTTTGACTTCTATTTTAGCTCTATTTTATTGCAA